GTTTGCTGTTTAAATCGCAAATTTCTTTTCATGTGTAGAGCACCGCTGATCGTGTAAAAATCGAATACAAGATCTGGTCTGAAATCTATTCGGTCTTCCGTAGGTATATTTACTTACCATTTTTTTCATTTGAAACACAAGTGTTTAGTGAATCGCTGAATTTGAATACGAAGTTTCCATTAAATAATGAAGTCATTAATGGTACTTAATCACATGCTATTTGTATTTCAATTAAGTAACAAGTAATCGTCAAATAATCTTAGTACTGTTCTTTCTTCCTGTTGAAACACTGATGATGACGTAGGAGATTGTGAAATTGAAAAGGAAAGAAAAACATTACTGAAGTGAAACTGAAGAGAATGAAGTTTCGAAGAAGTTTGAAGCGTCTTAAACTTGATCATTGCTTGTGTTCTGTAAACGCATGACACATTGTTAAGCGAATACGGAATAGTGAATTAATCAGGTGGTCCCTATTCACCCATATTCATACTACTTTTGTAAATATCAGTGAAAAGGCAGATAATCACTTATGCTAAAAAAATCTGATTGGCACATCCTGAAGCTAGCGTTGTTAAAAACCATAGAATAAACGGAGATTTGCGAAATGTGAATCAATTTGTTTTTGTTATAGTGCGATTTTCTGAATACTTTCTTAATGCAATCGATCCTATCTGTTTCAAATCTTCATTCCGTTGCTGAACGTCACAGATATAATTTTGTTAATATTTTTATTTTATTACAAACTGACTCAGTGCAAAACTCTTTTTAACTCTGAAGACAGAGCGAGTTAAACGACGATCTGAGCGACGGTTACTCTGTTGAATATGCAATAGATTTATGACTTGTGTTGCCGTTTATGCTATTCCGAGATATGTTATCCTCCTTCTCTCGCATAAAGCACTAGTTCCGTATTCAAAATATATACATTATGATTGATTATTGTTTTTAATTGTTGGATTTCTCTTAAGGTGATGACTTCGACCTATAATCTCTGCTATGACAAATGCTTACTCTACAGTATTGTTTAATGATGCCATGTTAAATATTGTTTGTTCATCTTCTGTCGAACAGTCGGAGAGACTAGTTAATTAACTTTATATTTAATGATTACTTGCCACGCTTTGGGATAATTTGTTTTTTAATGTTTTTAATGGATCTTTGAAATGGCAAGTGCAGTAGCAAATCTGACAAAATTTAGCTCACTTTAATCAAATTCGGACTATTGAGACCGAGTGTTAAACTTATGAGTTCGCAGTTGACAGCTGGTTAAGATATTGATCAAGTACATGCCATTCTAAATAGTGGAAAACGCCCATAGGATGCAAAGCCTATATGCGAAGTATTTATTTCAAAAATGCCAAGACTTTAAGCTTAACGTCCCCTGCAGTGGAGCACTGGTCAGTTATCATGCATTTGTTTTCTGTTTTAAATTATGTGGAAAAGTTTATGCGTTGTAGAGAATATGCAGCTTTGTAAAACAGACGATGTGCTTTTTCCTATAATTGCTTCTTCAGTTTGCTACGTGACGGTGTAAAAGGTTGCAAATAGCTGTGGTATTCTACTGCAGTATTTCAAAACGAAAGGATTTGTTTCACTAGATGCACACTTCGTCATCGAAAAGCCAATGAGTTTCCAAGATTTGATAGTTTCTTCCCTCTCATGCGCTGTTGGCGAATTAGCTTCGATGGATGAGGTTGTTTCTTCTTGCTCTATCGTTGCCTTTTCGCCACTTTGGAATTTTAACGCCCGGGAACATCTTGCGCACGTCCGTATTTAATTAATTCGACTCTTCCGCAGATAAAAGGTTCACCGCATACGAAGATTAAAGGGGCCGCCACACGGCAAAACAGTCATCTGGTACTGTAGGACGCAGAACAAACAAGAAACCTGTAGCGTTAATGTTTATGTCATATCATGAAGACTACTGTAATTTCTTGCCAAGAGTTTTTACCGGTTCAGTTGTTGGCTAAGTGCAGTTGCGTGATGTTAGTCGCGATGTTTTGCTCTTTATATGGTAACTTTTCTTTAATATGTGTACGACGTTGTTTTAGCACTGGTCTTTCAGTAAATGTTCATACGCCCATCGGTCTAATTGAAGGGATACTCGACACGTTGGTAGGTGTGAACGATGTCGGAAGATCTCCATACAAATATCGAGAACTACAAGCTTCAGCTACAGCAGGTTCAAACGCCTTCGTTTTCTTGGTTATATGTCAGTCAAAACAAGGGCAAGTGATTTCAGGTCGAAGCGGCATTAGTCGCCGAAAGTGAAAATGAAGAGCTGAAGAAACTGAAGGCTGATTTGGAAGAGGTGATAAAAATCACACAGGAACTTCTGCAGTCGTCTGCCGATGGCACGCCGGTGGCGAACGGTAACGATCCTCCTATTGACGACCCGAAACCGGTCAAAGAGTGGAAGGTATTCGCTGTTGTACTTTTAAGCAATTTACATGTTACAATATGCTATATAAAACAACGCCTCTGACAACACTTTTATTCGTGGTAAATTTGAATGAACGTCTCATTGTTTACTGTTATAGCACCTCTTGCAAAAACCTTTTGAATCTATTTCTGATTCATCTGCAGTTTCATAGGCTAATGGGCCAGAGGCCAAAAACTCTATTGAATCGTTAGAGAACTGATTTTTCAGATTTATTCCTGTTTTGAGAGACAAGAAATTTGGGCAAAGAAGAATGTATGTGATGGTGCAAACCTGATCTTTTTCACAGGGATAATAACATGGATGTACAAATTTTGATAGTTTTTTTGTTTTCATTTCTGCATATCCGGAGCTGCACAAAACATGGTTTATTTCCACAATCAATCGGTCCACAGTGTCTCACGGACCTTCTTCAAAGTAGAGAGGTGGATTGGCTTGTTGATCTTCTGATTCCCAACGTTAGAATAGTTGCGAATGATGGAGGGAACGTCGGTAAAAGTGTTAGATCAGGGAAATGTCTCTCGGCTTTACGTGACGTTGCTGAATTTCTGGAGACGCTACCTTAGAGCCAGAACTTTTCATTTGGCTAACTGACTGTTGTCGTA